AACTTTTTGAAGATTTCAAAGAAAATATGATCGAAGATTTCATTCAACAAGGAAACAGCGTGGAAAATCTCTAAAATTATGCGTTAATAACATACGAACGCAAATCCAACGTAATGGTTTCGATTTTAATCAATTTTTACCATTTCCTAATTTCGAAGATATTTCAGATCGCGAAGATAATTTAGTTAACTGTACTATTGATAGTAATAATTTATTATGGAATGATCTTAATAGTGATCAAATTTTGGCTGCGGATACTATTTTAAAATCCGTAGTTGATTTGAACTCGCAGAAATGTTTTTATATAGACGAGCCTGGTGGAAGCGGGAAAACGTTTTTGTATCGTGCTCTAATTCAAAAAGTTAATTTTATTGGTAAAAAATCATTAATCGTTGCATGGACAGGAATAGCCGCTACTTTATTACCAGGTGGCATTACATGTCATTCAGCTTTTAGTTTACCCTTAGACCCTACTTCTGTAAAATTTCCTAGACTTACTCAAACCAAAAAGGAATTTTTGAAATCGATAGATTTGCTTATTTGGGATGAAGCTTCCATGGCACTAGGTACAGCTTTAGAAATCGTTGATTTAATATTTCAAGATTTAATGGGTATTAAAACACCTTTCGGTGGAAAAGTTGTTGTGCTAGGGGGCGACTTTCGGCAAGTTCTGTCAGTTATTAAAAAAGGATCTCGATGCGCAATCATTGCTTCAACGATCAAAAAATCTTCTGTTTGGCCCCTTTTTTTAACATTCAAATTAAAACGCAATATGCGAGCTATCACAGATCCTGATTTTTCTAAATGGCTTTTAGACATTGGTGATGGAATAATACCTTCACCACCAACACCGAAAAACCAATTTTCAGTTGGAGTTCCGATTTCTTTCATATCTAATGACATAATTACCGATATTTTTGGTAATAGTTTTACCTGTACTGATGTTGAAAACTTTTCAAAACGCTCAATTCTCTGCCCAAGGAACGAAGATGTTCGATTAATTAATGAACATGTTTTGATAAATTTAAAAAATGTTGAACAAATGAGTTTTTACGCGATTGACTCTGTAAAAAATGATGATGGTGCAGAAGATCATGATTTACAAGTCAATATTCCAGTAGAATTTCTAAATACTTTGAATCCATCTGGATTACCACCATATAAATTAAATTTAAAAATCGGTTGTATAGTGATGCTTTTAAGAAATCT